TCTCTGAACTGGCTTCATCACTCTGCTCTCCTCCCCACTGATAGCTGGTGTGTGGGGAGTGTTCTGGCGCACTCTGGCTGCCGTCGCATCATCCAGGTGGGGCTGCACACTGGGGGTGGTGGAGGGGAGTCCCCATGACCTGTAAAGAGCTTTGAGTGGAGTGTCCAGAAAAGCGCTATAGAAGTGTAAGCAATTATTATTATTATTATAACCTTGACTGCACCCAGTGCCCTTATCAAAGAGCGTTGAAGTGGTTTGTGTTTTTCGATCTTTTACCTTCTGAAACCATGTGGGCATCTTGTCCCCCCAGAGGTACAAACCTCTGCTCCACAGTCCTCAAATTACTATGCAAATGATGGAAAGAATGGTATATGTATTGCTGTCAGATTCATTTCAATTCAATAAAACATTAAAATATAGTTTTATAGAAGATAAGTGCTTTGTGTGAGAAAACTGGGTCAATTCAAGCTTTCAATCAAGTATGCAAATGAGAGAAATGAGTGGCTGTACCAGCCAATCAGAATGCTCCATGTTTCTACCTACCCTTTGCTGCTCCTTAAAGATCAATTTTGTCTTTTTATTCTGCATCAGGTAATCTTCTTAACATTTTCCTGAAAGTGGTACTTTATCAAGATGTCTTCCAGCAGCTTTATTGTTAAAGTTATTTTGATTTTGAAGGTACTACAAAATCGTTCATCTTCTGTTAACATACTAGATGTTTCAGAAAATAGAGCTACTTGTTAAGATTCTTTTTTGTATGCATGCCGTCAGAATTGCCATCACTGGAGATTGGTAATCGATACCTCGTGTCTGTTCCTTTTTGTCTTCATGTGGTCAGAATTGCGATCATTAGCAATCAGTAATCGACACCTTGTGTCTGACAGGACCCTGTTCTCAGAGGTGCAGGCTCTCTTCCTGACGGCGGTGAACTCCGACCCTGGGGAGGTGGACCCCGATGTCCAGTGTGGGCTGGGGGTCCTGTTCAACCTGAGCGGAGAATTCGACAAGGCAGTGGACTGCTTCAACACCGCGCTGAGCGTGAGGCCGCAGGTACTAGAAGATCTTTAAACACGGCGCTGCATGTTCTGATCATACTCACTGTGAATGTACTGTATGAATTAATACTGCCAGACTATTAGAAAACACTGTGATTAGCCTGTGCATGCATACTCTGTACAAGACGAGCCCTATCTCTGTAGTAACACATGACGGGCTGAAGGAATTTAACCTTTTTAGTCTTGACCAGTGGAGACTATGAGGGGATCTGATGTATAAAAGTATTGGAAATGTCAGGCTTCCTCAGAATCAACACTGTAACACGAACCAAGAGGAACCATGTGGAGGTGGAACAACAAGGAATTGCATTTAAAACTGAAGACGGGGAAGTACCTTTAAAACTGAGAACCGGAGGCACTTTTTTACATAAAGAGTTGTGGGAGTGGGGAACAACTAAGGAACAAGTTGTCCAGCCATGTTGTTGCAGTGGATTTTGTGAGGATTTCCTGGGTCGGTGAGCTCTGATCTAGATGGACTCCTCTCGTTTGTAACTGTGCTTTTTTCCCTTTATCCCTCAGGACTACCTTCTGTGGAACAAGCTGGGTGCCACGCTGGCCAACGGCAGCCGGTCAGAGGAGGCTGTCGCCGCCTACAGGAGAGCACTGGAACTGCAGCCAGGTTTCATCAGAAGCCGCTACAATCTGGGGATTAGCTGTGTCAACCTGGGAGCACACAGGTAAGCCACATGTGTTAAGGGGGAACTGCGATGCAATTTTTGCATTATTCGTGGTTATAAAGAATCAGGACTGATGAGTGCATTTCAAGCCACAATGAAAGTAAAGTGTACACAGTAACTTGTAAAACCTCCAATTTACGTCACAAAATAGACAAAAGTTCCAGGTCTGCACATCACCACGTTTTGCCATTCAGAACGAGCCAACAAAACTTGGTGAGATAAGGCGGCCCTATTACACTGTAAACAAGCAGACTTGTGAATCCATCTCTTTTAATCCCATAGAAATATTGCTCTCCACTTCCAGACAGATTTGCTGACAAATACTACTTGTTAACTCTGCCTGCAGATCACGCAGGAACATTTCTGCGGTGAAATGTCTGCTACACAACCTGTACTTATTCTCTCGTACAACATCTTACATTAGTCATTACAGGGACTAGTGAGCAGGAAGGGCTGCTTCACATCGCAGCTCATGGGAACTCGAATGTGAGTTTACGACAGCATGGCAACTTACAGTACTTTTCACAAAGTTCCCTGGATTTCACGCTTAATTTGACATTTGTACATTCTATTTCAATGAATTAATTTTGTTTCTGACATTTAATAACTGGTCTGAGAAACTGGAACTCCAGTTCCTCTTGAACAGTGTAGGAATTGTCTCTAATGTGTGTGCTGTGATTACCGTGTGTTGCTTTAAGGAGTTGAATCTGTGCCGGCGGGTGTTGCTAGTCTGTTTAGGGGTGTTTACTACTGTTTTCTCTTTGTTAGCTTCTCTCTCTCTCTCGTTGCTAGGGAAGCTGTGGAGCACTTCCTGGAGGCGCTTTCTCTCCAGCGGGCGGCGCAGGAAGGGGCGGGGCCGGTGCCGGGGGCGGGACCCCGCGGGGGCGGGGCTGCCATGTCGGAGAACATCTGGTCCACGCTGCGCATGGCGCTGAGCATGCTGGGAGAGAGCGAGCTGTATGCGGCGGCCGACAGCCGCGACCTGGACACGCTGCTTAGAGCGTTCGGCCTGCGAGAGAAGGAGGGGGACTGAGAGAGGGGGGCGGGGGCGGGGGGGCAGATACTGTGTGAGTGTTTCGTCCGAGGAGGAGGGTGCGCGAGTGGGACAGTGGGGCGAGGAGGAGGAAGAGGGGGGCGAGAGGGAGACGACGGCGGTGAGGGGTGGGGACGTTAGCGGGGACAGGCAGGGGAAGGCCGGTGTCTCGTTGCCATGGAGCACACCTGAAGACAGACCTAAACTGGCTGCAGTAGAACTCCAGTTAATTTTCCAAACGTGGTGTTTTCCATTATTTTTAGAGCTCTGTCGTAAAGCAGCAGTTGTGTATCCATAGATGTAATTCCAGGAGAGACAGTGGGACAGGAGATACAGTGGGACAGGAGAGACAGTAAGACAGGAGGAGGAGGAGAGAAAGTGGGACAGGAGGAGGAGGAGAGAAAGTGGGACAGGAGACAGTAAGATAGGGGGAGAAGGAGAGACAGTAAGACAGGAGGAGAAGGAGAGACAGTAAGACAGGAGGAGGAGAGAGACAGTGGGACAGGAGAGACAGTAAGACAAGATGGGAGGAGAGGAAGACAGGAGAGAGTAGCAGGACTCTTAACGGTTGGGCACAGTCACTGAGGGGAGAGGGGGGTGAACTCTCCCTCTCTCGGTGTATTTTAATTTCAGCATCATTAGGCCATGCTCTTGTAATATAAACTTGTTCATTTGTAAATGGAATTCTGCCACCTATTGTAAAATACAGTGCAAAATAATGGTACATAATAAAAAGGAATTCAATTCATACCGACATCTGTGTCACACGGTGTGTCACTATTACAGCTTCTTAAAAAGGAGTCCGTCTGCATTCTTGGAGCTCATCATTAATTAACTCTTCTTTCCTGAGCTGATTACCTTCTGTGTGGAGTCTGCATGTTCCAGGGAATTGTCGGGCCGCCCAGTTTCCTTCCTTCCACCTTTCAGACGTGTGCTGGCCAGGATAATCAGTGTCTCCGTATTGTCTTTATGGATTTGTTTACCAGCCAGAGTGCGGTCTAGTCTGTCACCCAGGTGATGCTTTTGTGAAAGCCTATTTCCAGGAATAAGCGGCTGTCTGATACTGGAGGAATGCGGAAAAAAGCAGAATTTAATACTGCAGGAGAAAAAAAAAA